AGCATTAAGGGAAGGGGGGGGCGGATTTTAAAAAATAAAACAGAAAACACAGAGCTCAGACCTCGCGTGAAGAAGAAAAAAAATGGCACTCCCTGACTCATTTCTCAAGATAAACTATTTCGGGAGCTACATTTGATTTTTGCCTCAGTTTTCTGCAGCTGTATATTTACATCCTCATAAGGAAACAGGCGTCTTTGAGCTCAAATGTTGATCCTTTACTGTTTGGGGGGAAAGACTATTTCCATTTTCAAAATTCAGCATGCACACTATTGAATAACTAAATTTTAGGTTACTGAGGGTACAAGGGTCCTTAGTTCTAGTCAAAGGCTGTGTAGTACAATATCTGAGATTCTGGGGCTATGAAATGATGGCTGTATGCATAGTCTTGATGAAAAATTATTAGTATGCTTTGGCCCCGATGACCCACTTTTCCCTCCTACTCGGGGTAATGGAAGTGGCAGAAAGAGGAGAGTTGCTGGATACCTCTAACTGAAAGAAGACAAAAGCCTCCCATCAGTCCTGACGTGACCCTTAGGGTCTCCACGGCTGTAAATCTTGACAGAAGCTGAGGCAGCATCTTTCTCCTGCAGCGCAGCTGGTGGGCTGCCACCTCGGCCCCACCTGGTACCCTGACCTTCCTCTCAGACTAAATTGATGCAAACAGTATAGGAAGCCGACAAGCCTCAATGTCCTTGCTTTGAAGGAGCATTTGGTTATACTTCTTCCGACACAGATTTGGTCTCCTGACAATCCAGGCTGGTATGTGCAGTATTCTTCTCCAGCACCATACATTGAAGGCATCAGTTCTTCAGTCTTTCTTGCTCCATGTCCAGCCTTCGTAGTCATATGAGGCAATTGTAAGCAGCTTAGTTCATGCAAGCACCCCTTAGTCCTCCAAGTGCCATCTTTGTTTGCTAGGAGGTCTTTTGCAGCAGATTTTCCCAGTGAAATACATCATTTAAGCTCTTACCTGCTGCTGCCATGGGCTTTGGTAGTGGACCCAAGTAACAGAAATTTCTTGACAACGTCAATCTTTTCTCTGCTTACTGCCAATAGTTTTATTGCTAATTATGGTATTATTATATTTATGTTGTATATGTATAAAATGCACACATGTCATGTTCTTAATTGTCTTCAAGCTGATTCCCCCTTACTAACCCTATGTGACAGATAGAACTGCCCTATAGTTTCCTTGGCAATAAAATTTACAGGAAAACACTACCATGCCTTTCCCCTTGGAACAGAACCCCCACAAAGGCTCAAGTGGTCAGCCTTTGGTTTAGAAGTCAAAAGCACTGCACTATTGCACCAACAGGGCTCATTTATATAATAATTATCAACCATGTGTTTTAACATTTTTATTGTCTATTAATACCAGGAGGATCCCAGGTGATGTGGTTGTGAGATGCTTATCTGCTAACAGAAAGATTAGCACTTTGAACCCACCATCCACTCCAAGGGAGAAAATTTTATGTGCCATAAAGATTTACATCTTCTAAAACCCTCTAGGATCACTATGACTCAGAAAATATTCTACAGTAGAAGGTATTTTTTTGTAGTTTAACAATAATACAGAGTATTGTATGTGAGGGTAAGTAAAAACATTGCCACTAAGGTTCCAATTCATTTCAAACAAAACACGTTTGTTTGCTTTTTTAATGAAAAAAATTTTCCCAACAGTTTTATTAGTATATAATTTAGATATCATACAATTGAACAGTTCAACCGTTCATTCAATTCAAGAGGAGTTGAACAATCACCCCACCCCCTGGGCACATGGCCTTCAATCATTATCAGTTCTAGTACTCCCTCCCTCCTCCCAGCCTCACTGTTCACTTTCCAAATCCCTCTTCCCTTCCCATTGCCCATCCCCCACCCCTGCATTCCCTAGGGCACCTTGTATCAGTCATTATCATCAGACATCCATTCCTCTTGTGCTTCACAGCTGAGAGACCCAACAGAAAACAGCGCAAGACAAATCGCACTAAGGTGGTCAGGATAAAGGCAAAATACAAATGATGAGAAAGAGGGAGAAGCTCTCCATCAATGTTCAAAATGCCAGGGAAGGAATTCTGTCATGGGACATCTAAGAAGGGTCCTAAGTACTCATTCCCGTCCTGTCTATAGGGAGGCCAACCGGCCTGGTACTGAGTTCGATTCTGCATAATCAGGATTAAGTGGTCTGCATGGTAGTAAGGCTGTTCAGGACGCTTGCCTTTGGCTGGAGCAGATCGACCAGTGGTTCTGTCTGACTAGATCAGGGATTCTCAACCTTCCTAATACCACAACCCTCTAATACAGTTCCTCATGTTGTGGTGACTCCGCCCCCACCGCAACCGTAACATTATTTTCATTGCTACTTCATAACTGTCATTTTGCTACTGTTATGAATTGGAGGACCCCTGTGAAAGGGTCGTTTGACCCCCAAAGGGGTCGCAACCCACAGATTGAGAACCGCTGGACTAGATATTACTCTGCAGATGGGCTTGGGGGGTCCACCTCTCCTCCATGGCCTTTCTCCAAATGGGGTGTTCATAATGTTAGCTCTGACATGCTTTTCACCTTATTCGAATCTGTAATTGTCGTCTCTGACAACACAAGCTGGTGTGCAGCTTCTGTGTGGACTTACTCTGGTTTCTCCTCAGATCACAGAAGTCTTTCACCTTTGACCAAACACGTTTACTATCCATCTGTGATCAGTGGATAGCTACAGACAAGTCTTCTCAGAAATAAACCTGTCTTGATTTTATTGAGGTCGAATTAGAACTGGCTTCTGAGGGGCCTTCCAGGCAGGTTGAAGGAGAGACAGCGATCGGCTCAGAAGGTGATAGTGGTTTGGGGAAACGCCACGGGGTGTTTTTCCAGTGACACAGGATGAAAGAAATTTTGAGAAAATTGAAAACTCCACTAGTGAGCCCTGTAAGCTGCACTGAGGAACTTTTCCCATCCAACAAAGTACCTGGCCATTCTTCAAGGTCAGCCAGGGCTGTCCTACGATAATTTCATTCTCAAACTTTATCACCCTGTGGCCCTGATATTACCCCTTTATTCCTCATTTGGGTTCAGACTTCAAAAAACCTTTATAAAGAACTCAAACCGGCTGTTTTGACCAGGTGAAAGGAAGGAAGGAGTAAAGATGTGGAAGCACTACCCTCCAAAGTGTATAGATCGGCAAGAATGAGAAACAATAGCTTCGTGTTTTGATATTTTAGTTTAATAAAAATGTCTGTGATTTTGTCGCAATATGTTTTTACTTACCCTTTTATATGAAAAAAAACTTCTATAATGTTTTGGGAGCATTATAGAAGCTTTAGGAGCATTGTTGGAAAAGGTACATTTGGTAGATGTAAACATATTTTGTGTTATATTTACATTCTATTATATTCTTTCTCCCACAGTTGGAGGACTCTCTGCACTTGTCATTTAAATTTAGTTCCAGAAAGCCAGCTAACAACTCAGCAAGGTGTTTATCCAGATGACATCAGAGCATTTGATTCTCATTTAATATTAATTTAATTTGCTAAATCAATGCAAAGTAGTATACAAGTTAGAATGTGAGGATGCATTAACTAAACAAGAATTAATTAAAGCATTGTTGGAAAAATAATTAAACCAAGAATTTCCAGAGCTTTCAAGCAACCTGAAAGTAAAACTTGGCTTGCTATTGTATTGAAAATAACAAAAGTAATTTGTGGGTTTTTTTAAATCATTTTATTGGGGGCTCATACAACTCTTATCACAATCCATACATACATCAATTGTATAAAGCACATTTGTACATTCGTTACCCTCATCATTCACAAAACACCTGCTCTCCAAGTAAGCCCCTGGCATCAGCTCCTCATTTTTCCTCCTCCCTCCCTGCTCCCCGCTCCCTCATGAACCCTTGATAATCTATAAATTAATATTTTGTCATATCTTACACTGTCCAATGTCTCCCTTCACCCACTTTTCTGTTAGCCATCCCCCAGGGAGCAGGTTACATGTAGATCCCTGTATTTGGTTCCCCCTCTCTCCCTCCCTCCACTCTCCTTAATTTGTA